TCATTTCCATCTTTGTATCAAACACTGCTCATCCAAAGCACCATAAAATATTAAATGGAATAAAAAAGGGAGATGTTTAGAAGGATTGCAGTCATGGTACAGGAAGGAACTACTTTTTCTGCTTGCAATTGATAACGCCTGTTTCAAGCACTGTGAAAAGATCAGTTTTTAGCAGTCTATGGCAATGATAATTAAACCATGTGTTGCTTAGAATTTGAAATCTCTGCACCATGAACAAGTCATTTTTTATAAAGGTAAGATACTGTTGTGCTGAAAAGCTATGCTGTTTTAAGTGAGAGGTTTATCTGGAGGTTGACATGGAAGTCCTTTTCTTTAAGTAGGTTTTTTTAACTATCCACTGACATTCCCTTTTAAAATGTTTAGGTAAGGGATACTGGCTTTTACCAATCTGTAAAGTACTAAGACCATATGAAAGAATATATGAATACAAAGTATGTGGTAGTTCTTCAAGATTCACAATGATAAACTGATAAAATTATCAGAATACTACCTATATATCAGGACTAAGCATGGTGCTGCAGAAACCAGAAGTGTAACTCATACTGGTATTGCAACTGAGAATTATCATACTCAGTGCAAAAATAGGCATTCAGGAACCAATGCTGCCTGTACCTGTGGTGTTACTGTAGATGTCACCTACGCCAGCTCCAAAGGGAAATAGTAATAGTTTTACAGAATAACACATGGGAAGCATTAAGGGATACTGTGTCTTTGAGGACCTCAATAACTGTTTCTAAACACAGGAAGTGTTCTTGTAGCAGAGGGAGATAATGCTACAGTGTGGCATCTTCAGACAGCACTGAAGTGCAGTATTACCCACCACCTCAGTGTCAGGATTTGTAGTGTTAAAGTGGAATCTTTTTCATAAGCTTGTTGTCTGTCCGGTGATAATCATGGCTCTCATGAGTATGCTGGCTCGAATGCTAAACTGTTGTCCTTTGGGCTGAACTTCTTCATGTCTTCCCAGTGTTTCCTTTCACTTAATGAGTAAGCTGTCCGCAGCCAACTTAAGCTACTAATAATATCTTTAACATACTCTAGACCGTTGCTTAGATGGCACATTCCCTGCCATGCGGATCATTTACTCTCAGGTCTGACAGATTTCAGTGAAGGCTTAAGTCTGGGCTGTGCAAGTCCCAATCAGGAAAGAGGTGTAATAGCTCCAGCCACTGGGGAGCACGGGCAGCTGTGCAGCTCTAGCCCTGTGAATAGTACACCCCCTGGAAAACAGAGACCTCAGTAGAAGTGAAGGCTGTGAGCCAAAGGCATATGAGCATCCTGTAGAGGCTGGGCAGGGTGCAGGACATCAGCAAAACAGCAGCAGGTGCCCCTAACCACTCCTGGCCTCGGCACATTATCCCGGTTCACGGTCACACGACCTTGAGGCATCTTGGAGGTAGATGTCCTTTCTCTCTGCTGGCTCCTCTCCCAGTTCTAATACCCATTCCCCTACTTGACTCAACAAGTGTCCAACCTCAGACTTATCAGCATGCAGGAGAGGGAGGTGGGAAGTGCTGGCATCTTGTCAGAGAGAGGGTGTCTTTAGGGAGGTACAGGAGAAAGGCATTCACACTTGTCATCTGTGCCCCTAAGGTACACATCTGTAGCTTAAGCAGAAAAAGGAGCAATTGGGGAAGAGAAATTCAAACATGACTTTCAAGAAATGCAGACAGTCATTCCAGAGGAAAGTGGAATGCTTGCAGAGATGGCAGGCCTGGTTGCAGCACTCCCACCTCTGGCATATGCAGCTCCTGCTCCAGCCATACATGTCTCTTGGAAGAGCAACTGTCCTGAGGCTGCCAGCTCTCAGGAGGAAAACAAAGGAATCTGCATACTATATGACAGGACTTTTTGGTCTGAAAGGCATGGGAGATTTCAGACATATGAGACACAACAGCTCAACAAAATAATTTGCTTTGTGCGTCTGCTCCTGCCAAAGCTCTGGGTATTTTTTGAATGAGTCCTGTTACCTACTCACTCATATTTCAGTGAAGGAATTAATATTTCCTCTGTTCATTTAGCACACTGTGCCCTTTGCATTGGCTCAATAACATACAGCAAACAAAGCCCATAAAGTAGATCTCCTCCTTCTTTTTTATTGGAGTATAATGGTAGATTCATGGAATTTAAACCAGTTTGTTCAGTCAAAAAAGTAATGATCTGCTAAAGTAATCTCCAATATCTTTTTTTAAGTGCTCACTTAGTCTTGAGGTTTTTTTCTGGAACACACAGAAAAAACTCCACACAAGACTAGCTAGAAAAGATGCAGTTGTCATGAATGATACAATGACCACCTGTTCTTCTGTTGTCTTTAAGCTATTTTTTTTTAAAGTCATAAATTAAGCTATTGTGTATTATTGTGGGGGTCTTGTGATTACATTGCTGTGAATCAGTCTTGCAGTTACAAAATGAGAACCTTTGGCAGCCACTCACATACGCACAAGGATAGTGTCAGTAATTCTGTGGAGCTCAATACTGTTTCCAGAAGTGCAGTTTATGTATGCAAAATTCTTTGAGGGTCAAACCTTTCCAATTAAAATATTAATCTAGTGGTTTTAAAATGTTATTTCATAATCATAACAGTGTTTGGATATGATGTGCTTATTTCCATCCAAATGGTCTTGGGAATTGTGCATTCTAAAACAAATAGACCTGGATTATGCGTACAGATCATGTTTGTTAGGAAGAATGTATTTTTCACTGGAATGTGTGAGAAATATTTTGAAATCTCTTTCTTTCTTAATCAGTAGATGCCTTTATAGTGTAATTATTTCGTTTTGAACTTGGTGCATTAATGGTTTTTCCCAACTGCTTCTCAGCAAGCTGATGAGCTGGAAAGTGCAAAAGTGGAACTTCAGCAGTACTGCTGAAAGAGTCAGGAACACGGCAGATTTCCAAAAGCATGGGCAAAAAAACCCTCAGAAAAAGTTCCTTTCCATCTTCTTAAAATACTTGTACACAATTCCTCTTAATTTCTTCAAGTGTTTACCCATGAAGCTAAGTCTGGAAAGACTTTTTCTCCAACCATAGACCATAGTCTAAATGACCCATTTGTCTTGTCCAAAATTTCCCTGTACCAGAACTACCTCTTCTAGCTTTTGAGATTTTTGTGGGAACAGGCAGCTCTCTGAAGATGCAAATATACACACTTGTGCAGAGGGTTCCAGAGGCTGCTACTCTTAGAAGAAACTGTTTAGTTCCCATTACACATTTCCAGGTCTCCAGCTGCTTCTCATGCTTCACAGCTGGAAAATTCCAGTGTGCTGACCTGGTGCTGACTCCTTGCTGTGAAAACATGATGGGATCCATTCTTCTGTCCTGGAGAAGTTATGCACATAAACCCCCTGTTGACTGAGAGGAGAAGAGACCTCTTCAGCCTTAGCCTGACAAAACTCCTTTAAATGCTTATAGCATATTTCAGTGAACTGTGTTGAGGATGGAGAATACTTTCTCCCTTTCCCCTTTGCTCCTTCCCCCTTGCAGAAGTCTATAGCAGCATGCCAGCACCTCTCATCTCTAAAGAACTCCCCAAACCCACCTTTTTTCTTGTCATCCAGTTTCATCTCTCCACAACTTGGGTAGGGACACACTTTTTATTTCAATGCAATTGGTATTCACTCTTCAGTGGTTCTGCCTACCTGCCCTATCCAAATCCTCAGCTGGCTTTGATGAAAGTATTAAATGAGGTGCTCTGAGATCATCTGTTTGATATTAATAGATATACCTGAATTGGGAGCCCCTGGTGGTCAAGTGGTTAAGGCGCGGCGCTATCAACGCCGAGACCCGGGTTCGATTCCCAGTCGGGGCCGCTCCCCGGGCAGTTGGAGCTCGTTAGCCCTGTAAGGCAATCCATCTACGTCCTGAGGACCTCGCTGCCACCGTCCAAGCGTGCTTGGCCCCGGCAGATGAACCTCAGGATTAAAGGGTGGGCTCAGTTCCGCGCACACTGTGTCTCACCTAAAAAATCCAATGCGCCGGCTGGAAGGTGGAAAGACCTTCCCCGGTTCTTCGTTCGTGAAGACTGGCCATTACATTACATTACATTACATTACATTACCTGAATTGGGAGACAACATGGTTAGAATTATTCTGAGTCAAAATTTACAAAAAGTGCAGATAAAATATGAAATTCCAGGCTAGCAATTCAGTGAGACCCTGTAGTTGCCAACAAGGCAAGTGACATCCATCTCATGCATAACTGGCATGATAATGTTTCAGGTAATTGCTAATTTTGATCCTTACTGCTGCTTTCTATAACCTTTAGATGTTATATTATTTAGATATCATACCAATAACACTACAGCAAAGCAAGCCCATCAGTCACAACAACACAAAAAACAAACAAACAAAAAACCTAATCTGACATGTTAGTCTTCTCTCAAGCTCCTTATTTATTCCAGAAAAAAAGCAAATAAAGAGGCAGATCTGGTCTAATTCCTATGAGGAGACAAGAATTGCAGATTTGAATTCTTGCACAGTGATTCCCCAAATTTCTAATCTTGTCTTCTATTAAAGCAGAAATTTTATGGGAAGGGCAGAAACAACCATATCATAATTTTAAAAAAGATTTGATCTAGAGGTCTCAGAAACACAGATAAGTTCCCTTATTAAGCATAAGTGTTAAGCATAGAAACATTTTTTTTAATGCTAGGTAACAACACAATGAATTTAAATAATATTTTGATCTCTTGTGGCAATGGATTGCTTCTTTGTCAAATAGTAATATATTTATTAGAATAAAGTACTAATCGTTTTTTGAACAAGTGAGAAAAAATAGCATGGGAGCATAAGTTCTGTTTTAAATGTGATGACAATTTAGGTAAAATGTCTTGTTTCGTTGGTTTGTAATACTGTAATACAAAAAGCTGTAAAATGTAATTCAATATTGAAATACAAAAAGTTGTATAATGTAATCATTTAGTGTTTATTTTATTATGTGTACCTTCTACTCAGAGGGTTGGCATTATTGTTCCTAACAGTGATGGATACAAGCAGATCATGCCCTATGACCTCTACCATCCCCTTCCTCGGTACGTAAAACAGTCAGCCAGATTCTAGGCTTAACAAATACATTTGTTTTTTTTCTCTTCTCTGCAATTCTGCTTTGCTCTCAAACTAAGTTAACAGATTCTGCTTTTCTCTTGCTCTGAATTCCTACAGATTAACCTAGAGATGTTCAAGTGCTAACCTGTTGTAATAAATTCTGTCAACGCAGAACTGAAATTATATTCTAGCTGAAGCAGAAATGCAGACTTATTAAGTGTGTGGTTGCTTTCTTTCTTTCTTTCTTTCTTTCCTCAGCCCCCACCTCCCCTTTTCTCTTGCACTTCTTTTTTTCCCTTTACTTCTCTCTGAACAGGACTATAACCTGTTGCTTTGTAATTAACCAAGGGCTTTCTCTCTCCTCCCCCCTCATTGTGCTGCTTCTTGAATGCTTATAAATTGTTAGATTTTAGGGTTTGACAGCATTAGTGTTGTGTTCTGATCCTACAAACCCATGCTAATGCCTTCCCTGGAGGCATTAATTAATTGGCCTTTCTAAGAAATAAGAGGTCACGGGTACGAATCAAGGCCTGATTTTTATTATTAATTATATCACAATTAAAATGTCTTTAATGTAAGATTTAAGATTCTCATGGAAATAATCAGATAAGTAATTATTCTTAAAGCTGTGAATAAGACTCCTAATGATAAAAATGTTTGATAGGTGAATGATAATAACCTTTAGGTTTTGAAATAGCACCTAGACATGCAATAGTATTGTGCTGTTTCCTTCTTCATTAAGTTATTATGTTATGGACTATGAAATCACAGAGAACCCTGTAGGAAACTTGCTACTCTCATCTTGGTGAGGGAAAGACTTCCCTTGGACTGTGTCATAGCCTAATACAGAGAGCTCTCAGCATCCCTGTGCAAATACAGTGCAGAGAGACTTACTAGGCGAGTATTGTGACTGCCATTCACGTTCACATCATTTATCAGTTATCTGTGCTATTAGGATTAGGGTTTTCTCTTCCTAGCTAAGTGCTTATTTTTATGTACACATAGTATCACAAGATATTTGTGAGATACACTTATGAAATATATCTCTGCATTTAATTCCATTTTTCTGGGAAACACTTTTCTCTGTTCTTTATTTTAAAAAAAGCCACACCCTCCACACTTTATTTTAAAAAAAGCCACACTTTATTTTAAAAAAAGCCATACCTCCAAGCCTCAAAAGTTAAACCTGCTTGTAAGGAATATACAAACGTTAACACGCTAGCTTTAAATAAAACAAAGTGTACTTCAATTGTGTGCAAAGGGCTTGAACATTGATAAAGGACAGAGAATAATTTTATATCAGAGGATGATTCAGTGTACTTAATAGTGTAGGGATTGTATTTAGGTAAAAAGCATTCTGAGCTGGCAGCTAGACAGAGGCTTTTTTTACTGCTGAAGAAAATCCAAAAATAAAGGATCAAAATACTCTGCAGTATTTGGCTTTCAGTAAAACTGAAAGAAACAAAACAAAACATCATCCTTCCCTGAAAATGATCAAAAGCTGTTCTGGATTATGGTCTCATCCCATAACCATCCCTTTACATCCACTCTCCCAACCTTATTGTTCTCCTTTAAGTCCCCCCTTCATAGACTGCTCAGGCTGCAACTGCTGAGTCCTCTGCCCCCCTTTTTCTGTCATCTGTTTTGCTCCTGTTTCCCCTCTTCTCCCACTCTCCCACTCTCACATGCTCTTGTGAACTCACAAATAGAGCTCAGATCTTCCTCCCTTACCCCAAGAGAGGAGACACAGCTACACGTCTCTTCTCCAAACTTCAGAGGCAACTGAAGCTGAACTGACCATGAGGATGGCATGAGACAGGTCCAAGTCAGAGGGATAAAAATGCCTTTTCTCTCAAATTGCACAGTTTATGAAAAACGAAACAAACCAACAACCCCAAAACAAACCAAAAACCCCTCACCCAAAACAAAACAAACAACTAAACCAGAGAGGCCCTGATTTGGTTGTCCTAGCTCTCTGGCACCTAATATCAAGGACAGAAGAGAGCAACAAACATTCCAGAAATAGAGAGCAAATCTGGGAAGGCATCTTTGCAAAATTTCTCTGCTGTTACCCCTCAGACTTGTATTTTATCACCAGGTAGGAAAGGTATGATTTAACAGATACAGTACTTACTTTTAATGCACCACCAGTTCCTTTCACAAATTCTCAGCCAGTGTTGCACCCTTTGTGTGTTGAAAGGAGCTTTAAGAGCTGTGCCACAGGAAAACTTCATCTTCCTATCTTAGATGCTTACAGAACCTTAAGACCAAACTCTCTTCTTGATTTAAGCTACTTGGAATTGCTAAGATTACCAAAGGCATCTGCAAACTTGTCCCAGAGACTTCAGGAAATTCCCTGGTGCCATCACTTTTTATGAGTGGGAAAAGATGGCTTAGTCTGGCTGCAGCAATATTTGTAGTTCACGAGTTCCAGTTTGGTTTCTGGTAGTGAGAAACCTTAGCTGTATGCTGGGAAACTCAATCAGCAGAACTACAAGGAACACATTTAAGCAAAAGTGTTGCTAAAATTACACCTTTATCTAATGGCATGGCATATGTAACTCATGATTAACACAGAATGATGGCTGTGGCATGGTGTAAAAATGGTTTCACCACTCCTCTTGATAAGTCATAGTATTAATTAGTGGTTTTAACATTCATAAATAATTATTAGTATAAACTCTTTCACAATGAGTTTTATGGTACTTTCAGCCAGTAGCCAAGTGTAAGTAGTGCTAGGTGTACTGGAAAAGGTAACAATATGGTTGATATGATGAAAAATCAGAGAGAAAAATAAACATTTTTCATATTGCTCAGCAATCTTGGGGATCCTGTAATTGTTAGTTAACAAAAGTATTTCCTTTATTTTAAGTGGAAGAAAAAAAATCCTCATCTTTCATGTTTTTTACTTCTTGCCTGAAGGAGGAAGTAGGGCATGGTGTTTTCCACAAAAACTATTTTTAAGTCAAAAAGTGGAATCTTATTACCAAAATAATTGCTTCAAACAGTATTTATAATGTCCTTATCAAAAGGACACTTGCCTTTGGGGGAAAAAAATGATTTTGTGAAATGTTTCCGGATAGGAAGAACATACATACATCTGTACCATCAGGCATGGACAGGTTTATGTAGGAATAGCCACACTGGATCATGAGAATGGTCTCACAGCAAATCTGTGACAATGGCTTGAATATACAAGAGGCAATACCAGACTATTTTATGTGGACAGACACGTACATATGTAAAGGAATACACCTTACGGTATATGCATCACTAAAAAAATAAATTATTCTCATACGTATGCATAGCCTTTCAGAACATATATGTTGTTCTTTGGGTTTGTCATTATACTCTCAGATGGCATCTGTAGAGAAAAGATGGTTTCTCAGTTCCTCTCACTGCCTTAACTGCAAGGAAACAAGGTCCATCTGGTTTATCCATCAGAGGACATATATTTTATCAGTATAGTTACATCTTCCTTTCAGTAATTTTCTCCCAATTTTTTTTTCTTATTTCCTCTGCTGAGTTGCTTCCCTGGAAAAAAAACACTGCTGTTTCCCTTTATTCTCTTGCAAAGGAGACATTAGCCTCACAGCACACTGAGTTTCCAGTGAATCTTTTTGACAAAGATTCCTCAGAATATGAAAAATTGTGAAAACAATTGAATTCCATCAATTAATAAAAAAAGAAACTAGGTTAAAAGTATTTAGATTTTCTGTGGTAGTATTAATTGGGTTATTGGGAGAGAGGCTGTTCCATATTACTTATATTTGACCTAAAGACATTAGCCATGAGCGTGCTTTGCTCCAATGGACACTTATGAAAATAGATATATGATTAATTTTTACTGGTGTTAATCAGAAAAGAAAATACACTTGCAGATAGCAATTTCTGCATTTTTGCAGTGCAGTTGGGGGTGGGAGCAGCAAGGGTTACTTTTCTTGATGCCTCTCTGTTTTCCCAGATGGGAAAGTACACCCTGGACTGCCTGTTCCTCATCCTGTGGAGGGGGCATTCAAAGCCGTAGCATCTCATGTGTGGAAGAAGACATTCAGGGGCATATCAGCCCTGTGGAAGAATGGAAATGCATGTATACTCCAAAGATGCCTGTTGTCCAGCCTTGCAATATATTTGACTGCCCAAAGTGGCTTGCTCAGGAATGGTCTCCGGTAATCAATTTAGCTTTACTGGTTTTCTATTTACCACACTAGTAACATATCTGAAATTATAATTTAGTGAATTTGTGGAAGTAAGAACATTCACTGCTTTCTTGCCTTATTACCAGCACCTTTGTTTTAAATTATGCTGTTTGTCTAATTTCAAAGTAAACACTCTGGAAAAGTGTATTAAGAAGAATGATGGGAAAATAAATCAGCTCTTTAATGTTAATTTGTGACCTTCTACTAATAATAGACTGGGCATATTAATGAAATGCACAAAACCCCCCCAGTAATTGTGTAATGGTACATCTTTATTACAGCATTGCAGCCATAAATTGAAAATCATTAATTGCTGAGAAATTTCCTGAAATATGTAAAGCTGTAAATTAGTCTGCAGTTTGACACTTCCACTTTTCTGTTCCTGATTTGTCTTTCCTTCTGTATGAAAGTAAATGTCTTTAAAATGTCCTTCTATGAAAGTAGTAAAGTACTTTGACTTTGTACATAAAGGCTTACCTTGATTGTAGTTTCTCAACAAGTAAATGTGTTTTAGAAGCTAAGCTAGCTCACCTACAGATGAGGTGTCCTTGACTGATTGCAAAGTGTTGGCTGATTTCCAGATGAAAGCTGCTATTCAAGAGCAAAGAAATATTGGTGGTATCCATAGCCCTCCCCACTGGTTGGTAGTTTTGATCCTCTCAAGTGCAAGCAATTCTGAAACAATCTGTACAGAGGGGAAAAATTGATGAACCATAGCAAAAATAAGTGACACTTAAGAAAGTATCTGCGAGAAGAAAGTAGAAGAGTTTTCCATTTCATTTGATACCTTGTTCCAAAAAACCTGAGGGTCACCCCTGTTAACCTATAAGCCCCAGTACTTTGTCCAAGCAAAGCAGAGTGGCTCCAGATGAAATAGACAGGGTGTTACTGAACATATCCAATATGGAGACAAATGGCCACAAGCCACATAGGCAGCATTACAAGAGTGACCCTGCAAAAGAAATCCAGTGGCAAAATGCCCAAATCAAGTAAATGTTCAGAGCAAAAAGGCAAAAATTTCTGACGATTTTTACCTTATTCATAACTACCAAATATTATGAATACTTTATATTCAGGGTTGAGTGTTTCTGCTTCATATTTTGCTCTCTGATGCATGCATACTTCTGTTGCATATTCCCCTTTCACTCCTATGATGTATCACATACACCTTTTTTTTTTTTTTTTTTAATCCAGTGCACCGTGACCTGCGGACAAGGACTCAGATACCGCGTTGTCCTTTGCCTTGACCACAGAGGAATGCATACAGGAGGCTGTAGTCCTAAAACAAAGCCACACATAAAAGAGGAATGCATTGTATCCACTCCTTGCTACAAACCCAGAGGTAATGAGACAGAAGGGTTCTCGTAGATTTTTCAGAGCTCTTCAATTTTCAACAGTTTTGTGATGTTGCTGGCATCACTGTTTCTACCTGCACTGAGTTATGATTTGCACCTGTCTGTTCCTGTGCCTGCTAGCAACTTGAAGTGAGTACTAACCTATTTCTCTTTCTTAAGAGCTTTGGGTTTTTCATTTTTAATTTGTGGTTCAGCAGACCAAGCAGTAGTAGTAGTAGTAGTAGTAGTAGTAGTAGTAGTAGTAGTAGTAGTAGTTGTAGTAGTAGTAGTGGTAATAATAATAATAATAATAATAATAATTTTTAAAATTACTCTCCTGAAACATATTGAGAGCACCTTTTATGAAGCCCTGTGAAATAAGATTGACCCATGACCTCATGCTGTTCCAAGATGGAACAGTGACATTTGAAATTTTAATTTCTGCACTTGGTGGCCAATGATGGGCACCTTTGCCAAGTTTCAAG